GTACGGTCTATCGCGTTTATTTTTAGACTGCTTATTGTGGGCTATGTTTCGGCACTGTTAGGCAGGAGCACATTTGAGATGTGCCGTCTTGTTTATATTAATGTACCGCCAAACTCGCTACGACTGTCGTCATCGCTTGGGTTATCCCCAAGAGCGATTTATAGGTCAGGTTACACTGTTGAATATCCTATTATGTTTAGCTAAAGCGCGTGGACTTTGGCAGGGCATAGTAGATGTTTTACGGCGCTATAGACACAGAAATGACAGTTATTCGCCTGTGAGGACCTTGCTTTGATATAATATTTGGCTTGTGTTTGTTTCTGGTTTCTTTTATTTTATTATTGTGGGTGTTTTACGTAATAAAACATTAACAAATTTTGGGCGGCACTGCACGACCGTGCTCTGTGGACGAACCGTGCCTGATCACAAGACACAAAGGTGATAGTACATTGTATTCCAAGACAGACATTGACATGATAGTATTCCAAGACACAAACATGATAATACACGTATTCCAAGACACATGCATGATAGTACATTGTATTCCAGACACAAACATGATAGTACATATATGTATTCCAGGACACAAACAAGATCGTATTTACTGTATTCCTAGATAGGCATGAAAGTACATGCGTTCCAAGACAGACGTGATAGCATTTCAATACACAAGCACGGTACCATTTAAAGACAAGACAGACATCATGTATCCTGCGAAAGAAATAAGCGGGTGGTTGGAGGGCACCACTGGTAGGACCTTCTTCTTTAGTTTCCCTCTGTTGTTTCTGTTTGTCTGTTTTACTTTTTGCAGCACTAAATGACCGTTATTGTGTCGATGTGTTTCTCTTTACTCAAACAAACAAAAGAAAGAAATAATTCAATGTCTGTCTCCCCATGTGCCTGTTTCTTCCAGAAAACCGTTCCGGAGGTGGAGTACGCAGAGGTGATGGAGTCAGACCAGGGGCTCTACAAGTGAGTGTAGGAAAAACCGTCACAGGTGTATTGTGTCTGTGACATCTCTTTGAGTATATGAGTAATGTACTCACTCATTCGTTCGTAGTTTGCATAATTTATTATCGTCCGGGTG